CCGAGTATCACCTGTACCGGGTACTGCCTGTACTGGGTACGGCCCGGCACTGGGCACCGGGCAGGCTGAGTACCGGGTATCACCTGTACCAGGTACTGCCCGCACCTGGTACCGGGTATCACCCGCACCGGCTATCACCTGTATCGGGTACCGCCCACACCGGGTATCACCTGTACCGGGTACCACCTGCACCGGGTACCGGGTACCACCCGCACCAGATACAACCCAGTACCGGGTACCGCCTGCACCAGGTATCGCCTGCACTGGGTACCGAGTGGGCCAGGTACCGCCTGTACCAGGTATCGCCTGCACCAGGTACCGCCTGCACCGGGTACGGCCTGGCACCGGGCACTGGGCGGGCCGGGTACCGGGTATCACCTGTACCGGGTACCGCCCGCACCGGGTACCGGGTATCACCTGCACCAGGTACTGCCCGCACCGAGTACTGCCCAGCACCAGGTACTGCCTGTACTGGGTACCACCCACACCACGTACCAGGTACCAGGTAGTGCCCGCACCGGGCACTGGACGGGCCAGTACCACCCACAGCCGGTACCGCCTGCATTGGGTGGAYCCAGGTACCACCTGCAGCGGGCGGCTCTGCACTGGGCATCAGCCGTACCGGGTACCGGCTGCACCGAGCCCCCCTGCCCTGGGCACCGGGCGGACCGGGTACCGCTTGGACTGAGCACCGGGCAGACCAGTGCCCAGGCAGACCGGGCATTATCTAGACCAGAGGTTGCTTGGACCAGGCACCGCATGGACCAAGCACTGCTGCCCTGGGCACCGCTTGGGCCGGGCACTGCCGAGACCAGGCACTGCCTGGAGCAGGAGCTGCTCGGACTGGGCACCTCTTGGTCAGGCACTGCTTGGTGCCGAGTACTCCTTGGATCAGGCACTGCTTGGACTGGGCACCACTCATCCCAGGCACTGCTTGGACCGGGTATCGCTTGGATCGGGCACAGCTTGTCCTGGGTACCGCTCAGCACCCGGCGCAGGTCCCCACGTTGGCCTGGGCAGCACTTGCTCCGGATGGAGCTGGTCTCAGAGCTGCGCACGGGCACCATTCGGTGCCGAGATCCCGGTGTCTTGGGCACGGATGGAGCCGGGCTCAGAGCCGCGCACGGGCACCATTCGGTGCCGAGATCCCGGTGTCCTGGGCACGGATGGAGCCGGGCTCAGAGCCGCGCACGGGCACCGCTCAGTGCCGAGATCCCGGTGCCCCGGGCGCAGATGGAGCCGGGCACTCCCGGCCCCAGGTGCYGGTGTCACTGACACCGCGTGCATCKCTTTCCCCCCCGGAACAGGCACGCAGGCCGGCTTGGACACACAGCCCATCGCTTTATTGCTACAGGAAAAGGCGACTGTACAAAAATAGAGTTTATCCCCGACTTTACAAATAATAGAAAAGGGGGTCTGGGGGCGGGAGGCGCCCACGGCTGGGCACGGGCACAGCTGGCCGCGGCCCCAGGGCTTCACATCAGCGCTGGGGTTGAATTACAGCCGCCCCTCCGTGGGCCCAAAGTCATAAATAGGAGCTGCCGCTCGAGAACAATAAATAAATAATTTAGAGTAATAAATAGTTTAGTGCCGCAGCACCTTAGGGGGCAGCAGGAGGACCCCCTGCCCCTGGGCGCTGAGCTTGGCAGGGGACACCCACCGTGTCCCCGTGCCCTGCCACCGTGGGGGGCACCCGCTGCGCTGGTGCAGCCCGCGCCATCCGGGCCGTGCTGGGGCCGTCCCCTCCCCGCCGGGCAGCTCCAGGGCTCCGAGGGAAGGAGGGTTTCCCCCCTTTCTGCCCCACGAGGCTCGGGCGACTCTCCCGTCGCTCCCGCACGGCTCTTGGCACCGAGGTCAYGGCTCTCCTTGGTCCCTCGCGGCCGCCTCCGACCCGCGGGCTCCGGGCCSAGCCGTCCCGCCTGGCCGGCGCCGCCGGGAGCGGAGCGGAGCCGGGGCCGGCCCGGCAGACCCCGCTCAGCCGATGCAGCTGCACTCGGCCGCCGAGAGCTTCTCCACCGTCTGCCACGTGTTCTGCACGTCCATGAAGGACACGGCCTCGTAGCGCGTGGGCCGGCAGCACGGGTGGCTGAGCACCCGCTCCTGCGGCCCCGGCGCGATGAGCTGCTGCCGCAGCAGGGTGCCCAGCGTCAGGTCGTAGTTGCTGCGGGCGCGGTGGCACGAGCCGCTGCAGTACTTGAAGAGCACGATCTCGTCCGAGTTGAAGCCCAGGCCCAGGTCGCGCACCTTCACCATGAGGTTGCGGATGTGGCAGTTGCGCCCGCGGGCGCCCCGCGCCGGCTTCCGCGCCGCCTTCTTGGCCTTGCCGGCGCCCGGCGGCGAGCGCTCGGCCCGCAGCAGCAGGTCGTCGGGCAGCTCCGCCTCGCCCGGGCCGCCCATCGTCACGTTGTCCCCTGCGGGCACAGGACGCGGTCACACGAGCTGCCCCCAGCCCTCCCGGCGCTCACCGAGCCCCCGCGGTTGGCGCAGCACCCACGGCGAGACTTGACGGGAGGAGGAAGGAGGATGAGTGGGGCTGGGTTGGGCTGGTGGCCCTGGGACCCACCGAGCCCACCTGGAGCATCGTCCGTGCCCTGTGGTGACCCAGCACCCAGGGACSCATCCTGGCCACCCAGCAGGACCGTGCCCAGCAGTGTCCATGGGCACCCCCTGAGCACCTCATGCTCCCCAGGGCACTGCTGTTGTCCCCAGGGCCCAGCGCGGTGCTCCCAGGTCCAGTATTTCAGCGTGTCCCTCCCCGCAGGGCGCCCAGTCCCAGTATTTCAGCGTGTCCCTCCCCACGGGGCTCCCAGGGCAGTGCAGCCCTGCAGGCACTACCTGGGGCTGGCAGGACAGCTCCTGTCCCCGTGCTCGGGGACGCGGGGCACCTACCGTGCAGCGGGCTCCAGGCAGCGCCCGGGGGCATCTCCACGCCGTCCTCGGCGCTGGGGCTCGTGGGGACGGTGCCGCCCGGCGTGGGCGCCGCCTCCAGGCTCCTGTTGCAGTGCCGGGACTGCAGGGCGCCCRCGGCCAGCCCGGCCAGCAGCGAGAGGATGGCCAGGACACCCCAGCACGTGGCCTCCTGCAACACAGCACGGGGCASCGGGATGAGCTGCAGCCCTGGTGACGAGGGTCCTGGCTGGGGAAGGGGAYGCGGGACCCGCTGCCCGGGCCGGGTCCCCCAGCCGGGCCTGGCCTCACCTTGGGCCGCGGGTGGGTGGCGGGTCCTGCAGGTCTGGGCTCCGGTGGCCCCGCTCGCTGCTCCATGCTGCCTGCAAGCACAAGGGCACAGGTCAGCACCGGCCACGCGCCCCGCAGCGCGACGCCCCGAGCCCCGTGTGYGCCCCACCGCCCCGCACAGCCCTCCCCGGGACCCCGGCGGCTTCGCCTGGTGCGGGGACACGGCCGCCTCCTCCTGCCAGCGGCCGGGATGCCAGGCTGTGCACCCAGGCAGCGCRCTGGGAGCGCAGCGGGGACCTGTTCCTACGGCCTCTCCCTGGGGATGTGTCGCCAGCCGCCAGCGGGAGCCTGACCTTGGGCGCTCCGCACCCCTCAGCGCGGGAGCCCCGGGAGCAGCCRGCCCGGCCCCACGCTCGCTGGCACGCGCGGGGTGCCCTGCGCTCGCTCATCCTGGCACCTCTGCCCCCATCCACCACGCGCGGGGGGGGCCTCGCTGCCAGCTCTGGGGGTGCCACGTGCACGGACATGGGGGCAGTGCCGACAGCGGGGTGCAGCGGCAGGTCCCAGTATGTCCCCACAYGATGCAGCCCCTTCCCCTGCCCGCCGTGGGTGCAGAGAAGCCCCTGGGCCTCCAACCACGAGTGCTACCGTGGCGGGGGTGGCTCGAGGCCCGTGGCCAGTCTGTGCCTCCRTGTGGCAGCAGGGGACCAGCCTGGTGCAGCTCAGAGCTGCCTCCTGCAGCAAGGAGTTCCCTGGTCTCCACCCCAGCTTTATCCCACGCATCCTGCACGCTCCCACGGTGGGGGTGCCGGGACGAGCATGCGGAGCCGCTTGCACGACTAAGTAGCCAGGACGCTGCTGGGACCTGATCATGAAACCAGCCCCTTTGGCTCCAGCATCCCTGGGGAGACAGGCAGCCAGTGCCGCCCTGTGGCGGCCGTGCTGCAGCCAAGGTCCTGGGTGGGCGCCGGGCACCGGGCAGGACGCGGCCCCGCTGCTGGCAGGGCCGACACGGGCAAACCCCGGCCGGGCCAAGCGCAGCCCGTGTAGCACGTGGCTCCGGTGGCGGCCGGTGGCCCCCTGCCAGCTGCTGCCACCGGGTCATGGATTTCCCAGGCCGGCACCCTCGGAGGAGCCAGGCGAGGGTCCCCGGGCCCCTCGGCAGGGAGGAGCCGGGGCCGCGCGGCCCCGCTGGCCGGCCGGTCTCGCTCACACGGCCCCTGTGAGGCCTGGGGGCTCTGGGGGGCCCTTGGTGCGGGCAAGCCCAGGGGACACCACGGGGGTGCAGGTGCACCAGGACCAGCACATGGGACAAGCCGGTGGCCGAGCCCTGGGGACGAGGGCAGGGAGAGAGGCGGTTTCCTGGCTCCGCTGCCCCTCCGGCGGCCTCCGGCCTGGCCYGGCTGCAGCCGCCCCGAGCGGAGCCGTGCGGGGCCCCGGCCCCTGCCCGCGGGGCCCCAGTCCCGGCCCGCGCGCCCGTCCAGCTGGACACACAGAGCCCTTGTGCAGTTCAGGCTTCTCCCATCCGGCGGCAGCACCAGCCCGGACTCYGCGCGCACTGCTCCAGGGCCTTGCGAATCCCAGGCAGGCAGGAGGAAAATTGGTGGCAGCCCCGGGCGGGCAACGTGGCTCCAGCAGCCCCTCTCTGCCCTCGCCGGGCACCTGGAGCCGGGGCGGTAGGAGAAGCCTTTGCCCCCAGCCCCCTCTGCCCACTTCAGCACTGCCCCTATCCGGAGAGCCCCAGCAGGAGCCCATCTTGGGGACACAAAGACGAAATCCCTAAAAGTCTCTGGAGACGCATGCGAGCTCCCAGGGCTGAGCTCCCCAGCGCCTCTGCCCCTACAGCCAGAGCTGCCGGAGCGGTGCAGGGCGCGGGACCCACTGCCCTGGGCTCCAAGGCTAAGGCGAGAGCCGCTCTCCAAGCGCTGGCGGGCAGAGCACGTGGAGCTGGGCAGGGCAGGAGCCCCAGGCTCTGGGCAAACATCTCAGCGCTCAGAGCAGCCACTTTCGGAGGTGTAAAAGCGGCAAGGCCACAAGGCAGCCCGGCTGCTTGCCAGCACCAAGGGGGCCGCTGCGCCGGGTGAGCAGGCACTGCCAAGGGTCTGGCTGCACAGCCTGCCCGGGGCGAGTGGCCTGGAGAGCTCTGTGAGCCACCTGCAGACACTTGCAGCGCGGCAGAGCCAGCGGGCCTGGCACCCCAGCGCTCCGCTCGGGGCGGCAGGGCTGAGGGAGGCTACAAATCAACCCTGCGCGTGATGCGGCGCTGGCACCGAGCGCGCAAAGCCGGGGGGCAGGCCGCGCTCAGACACGTGGGACGCACACGCCGACACCAAACTCGGCTCCAGCCAAGAGCGAGTGAAGTCCAGCCGACCAGGAGGGGTCCGGGCTGTGCCAGCCCTGGCTCCCTGCTCGGCGGGACTGGCACCATCCCTGTCCCCGTGGCCGGGGAGCAGCCGGGCGTGGGGAGCCATGGCCGGCGGTGCCAGCCCCACTCGCAACCCAGAGAGACGCGGTGAGGAGCCCGCGCGGGGCAGGAGCCCGAGGCGGTGAGACCCCGACCCCGACCCCGGCCCCGGTGCCCGCGCCGGGCGCCCGTCCCGCTGCCCGGTCCCGTGTCACTCACCGTGCGCGCGGCGGGGAGCGTCCCCCGG